ATGTACCCATGTACTCATAGTATAATTTACTATAAATGAAATATTTATACCGAAAAAACAATTGAAGTAATAATGATTTATGAGTTAATGACAGTCAATGAAAATTAAAAATAACTAAATATAGAATTTTAATTTCATTGGCTAATGAAGAAAAATTAATTTGTACGGCTCCTTGTGGAACACTTTTAGAATAATATAAAATTATAATACCTATAATAATAAATTGTAAATGGACGAAATGCGAATACGTTTTGTCGTCATTCGCCAACAAGCACTTAACGCTCTACGTGTCTCGTACTGTTGTTCAGGTACTTGGCAGTTTGTTGTTTGTTTTTTTTTTATTTTTTATTATTCATTATGTCGGACTCGGATGTCGATAATCCTCTAACGCCACCTAAAGAAATTAAATTGTCTTATAAACAAAAATATTGTGTTGAATGGGAGGCAGTTGCCTCATTTAAAGAATGGCTTTCAGTGAGCAAAAAAGGTAATATTTTAAAAATGTACTTTTATATACCTATAATATATTTTAATTAAATACCTACTTAGGTATTCATTATAAATTTTTTTTAGGGAATACATTTTTTCATTGCAAAGCATGTTTAGTAGATGGAGTAGCTGGTAAATCAGAAATTGAAAAGCATTCCCTTGGCAAAAAACATATGAAAAATGTGGAAAGCGCTAAAAATCAATCTAGTATAAGTAAATTGTTAACAGATCACAGTTAATTGGAAAATGAAGTATGTACTAATAAATACTCAAATACTCATGAAAAATAGTATTCCAAATAGGTACATCATAAAAAATGTATAATTATAGGTGAAATATGCTGAACTACAACTGTCATTGTTCATAGCTGAACATAATTTACCATACTCTATCATGAACCATTTACCGAAGCTCATAAAAAAAAAATTGTCCCGATTCGAAAATTGCACACAATTTTAAATGTGGTGATAATAAGTGCAAAACAATCATATCTAATGTTGTAGCTGCTGTAAGTCATGATAACCTTATAAACGACCTCAAGTCCCGTTAGTTTTCAATAATTTTAGATGAAAGCACCGACAGATCTTCAATTAAGCACTTGGCTCTAGTTGTCCGTATAGTTCAATCACATTTTTATATAATGGGTAGATTTATTACCTTAATTGAAGTGAATAGTGCTACATCACAAGCATTGTATGACCATGTTATAAATTTTTTTGATGAAAATAATATTTCTTATAAAAAGAATATGATTGGGTATGCAAGTGATGGGGCAAATAACATGATGGGCTCACATAATTCCCTAGCCACAAAATTGAAGAAAGATATTACAAATCTTTTTGTGTTTAAGTGTATCTGCCACTCATTCCACCTATGTGCATCCTATGCTTGCATGAAATTGCCTAAGTATGTGGAAGATGTAGCTCGAGATATTTACAATTATATTAGTAACAACCCAAAAAGGGTTATGTGAATACAAAGAATTTCAACAGTTTTTAAATTTAAAAATGCATAAACTACTTCATCCAGCCCAGACAAGATGGCTTTCATTACATTCAGTTGTGAAACGAATAATATCACAATACCCAGCTTTAAAGTTGTACATTACTTCTGCTGCATTAAACAATGGGTTAGAAAATGCAAAAATAATTTTAGATTGATTAACCAATCCCTTAACATTATTATATTTTGAATTTCTTGATTTTGTTCTACCATTTTTTCATAGATCTTAATATTGAAATGCAATCAACAACTGTTAAAATACATGTAGTTTATGATAAAATTGGATCTTTGTACAAAGAAATACTCAATTGCTACACGAAAAAAGATTATATTTATAAAAAAGATGTTAACGAAATATAATATAGAAACCCTGAATTCTTTTTAGATTTAAAAGATGTATATTTAGGTGGTAAGATTATGGCTTCAATAACCCTAATTTTGGCTGAAAATAAGTTCACAGATGGTATGATACAAGACTTTAAATTAAGGTGTCAATATTTTTATGTAGAGGCAGCAAAACAAGTTTACCAATGATTTCTATTTAAACTACTTCAACTATTGATGCACTTAAAAATTATAAGTCCTGAAACTATTTTTTATAATAAAATATCTTTATTGGGGTCAATGTTTGCTAATCTCCCAATTTTGTTTGGGGATATGGACATGAACGAAATTGATAGAGAATAGAGAAAATTACCATTCATAGATTTTACTAAATCTGCAAAGCACGATAAAAATAGTGATATTATAGATTTCTGGTCTTACATTTTTAAACTAAAAAAAGGTGATGACATTCCTATGTTTCCATTAATGGTTAATTTAGTTACAAATATAATGACATTGCCACATTCTAGTGCATGTGTTGAAAGGATTTTTTCAATGGTTAACGCAATTAAAACTAAAAAAAAAAATAGATTGCAAACAGATAATTTGTGTGGTCTATTACAATCTAAGAGTATGCTAAAAGTTTCAAGCTCTGATTGTTTCAATTTTAACTTTGATAAAGAATTTCTAAAACAATTCAACCAAAATATGTATAAGTTTAAAAGTATGTAAGTTTTTTTTTACTCTTATCTGTGTATACTGAAAAGTTACTTACTAAAATGTTATATTGTTAATCAAGTTCATTATTTATTATTATTTATTATTAACCAATAGGTACAATAATGTGATTTTGTAAAAAAATATGTTCATTAAATCATTTTATCAAGATTGATAAGTTTAATAAAGTTATATAATATAATTTAATGCAATAAAATAAATTATTTTATATTATTTTTCTTAAAAAGTGTATCATATTTTAAGTTTTCAGGAGTTATCGCTATCAACTTCTATTATCATTTATCAGTAATTACTGATTTGCCCGTAATCATTTTATCATCATTTTAAAAACAGTTTTTTCAATGATTCATTGGAATGTTTTCGGATTTTTTTGATACACTGGGAAAAAAATTGATTAACAGAGAAATTTTGAACCTGAAATTGGGGAAGTTCTAAAAACTGAGTTACGAAGTCTGGTTGTCACTCGCACCACTACCACACGTGTAAACAGGTATGAATAGTACTTAGTGTTCGTGGAACCGGGAGTGCGAGTGAATAGAACGTCATTCTATTTACTAACGACGAGTAGCTACGCCCCCCCTCCACCCACGACTACACTACTCTATTCTACTCGCGGTTGCACTCGCAACGTGTGACCGATCGCCTGATGATGGTATTAGTGCTTAAGGCCTATGGACGCGTTTGCAGAAGCGATTCAAATTTCAGCCGCGCTGTCGATTTTTTGGCCGCGCGACTGCCGCCGCGCCGCGCCGGACCGAAACATACCATTTGTAGCAATTCTCTGTAGGCAACAAGACGTATTTTACAATTGTTATCTGTTTCTTTTTCAAAATGTCTTTAAACAAAAAAACAAAAGTTAATTTTAAATATACTTCTTTTACAAGAAGTAGATGAAAAACAAATATAATCTATTTATAAATGTACAGTGGTGTATTCGTAATTTTTTTCTAGGATATACGCTCAGCACATAAGCGTTTATTGGAGGGAGAGGGGGGGGCTAAACCCCTTAAAAAAAATGTTCTACCTACCTAAACTCAAAATTACATAATATGATGGGAACGTGGGATATATCCCCACCAGACTTTTTTCCTAAGAGGGGGTAGTGTACAACTTTTCAACAAAAGTATTTTTGGAGGATTTAAAGTGGGCGCGCGTCCCCAAAAATAGGGATCCGGGTATACGGCGTATACCCGCGTATACCCTTCAATACACCACTGCAAATGTATTATATTTATCATTCATCAAATAATAAATAAATAATAAGTATAGACTAAAAACTACGGTCTTGCGCTGGTGGTCGACGTCGATACGTAGTTGACCGACGCTGTGCGTGGTCCAGTTTAGGCGCGGCTACACGGACTACGCACATCGATTACATCGAGGTAATCAACGTGATAATATACATCAGGGATGGGCAACTCGAAGTTACTAGAGGGCCAATTTTTAGAAAATTTAAATCTAGCGGGCCAAAGCATAGAAAAAAACAAAAGAAAAGAAAAAAAAGGTCATACAAAAGATGAATTTTAATTAGCATTTATATATATGGAAATAATAAATTCAACACACATGATAGCATAATCCGAATGGTACGAAGAAACTGATACAGTTAAATAGTTTGGTAACAGCTATGGTTGAAAGTTATACATTCATATGACATTTAGATATTCAACGATGTTTAATACTAGATAACAATCATTATATTGAAAAGTTAGAGCATAGACGATAAACTTTAAAATTGTATGATGTAATTATGTAAATATATTACGGGCTAGATAAAAAAGGTTCACGGGCCGCCAGATGCCCACCCCTGATATACATGCATATACAGCCGCGCGTGTCTGCGATTTGACACCTTTTGGAGCAGTCGCTGATCCGCGGTCGCGGCCGCGCGCCGCAGCGACTGTCATAGGAATCGGTTCCGTCAATAGGTGCGACGCGGCTGAAATTTGAATCTAACCGCGGCGCGTCTGCAGACGCGTCCATAGGAATCCCACCTTTAGTAGAGATGGACATTTTCGGTCGTTCGAATGATTCGAATCATTTAAATCGGGTCAGTTTAGTGATCCGAACGAATGATTCGGTAAATTCAGTAATTTCGATCAGTCATCTAATATTGTTCTTATCTTTGGGTTCTTCATTTTCATATCGTTCATTCTTATCAATGGACGAAAAGCAATGAATATCGT